GTCCAACATCCAAAAGAATTGTTTCTTTACGGTCAAATAAGTAAAACTCGACCTAATTAAAACACGTTTGATGCAAATGAAGCTTCACACTAGGCTTATTTATGGATGCCGCATCGTACCTAGGGATACCGCGGAAAAATTGCCATCAGTGTGCGCTTGCCTGTAGGGATACCGAAGGATCCGTGCCGAATCATCCTGTCAGTGGGCGTCGAGCCTAAGATGTCCTTAAACCATGGGAATAGCTTCTTGAATCACTTTGATATTCTTTCTCAATAAATTGTATTTTTTTAAATAATAGTGAAAACTTTATAATTTTTTTTTCATTTACATGAAACTATTTTTGTATCCGAATCGTATACATTTGTTTTTTCAAACAAACCTACATTCTGGGCTCTACAAATCACATAGTCGCATCTAACTGGGAAGGACCTGAAAAGTTGGTTTGTTCGGAAAAAAACAAATGTAAATTATTGAATATAATGTTTCTACTGCCATAATCATCATATTTATTTATAACAAAGATCGAATACTTTAGAAAAAAAATCGATCCGGCCGGATTCAAACCGACGTCTTCTTGCAAACCGTTAAAGACGCTATGCCAACTAAGCCACGCAACGAGTCAACGGACCTTATGAATTTTTCTATGTGCTTGTTGCAGATTAAGTGTTCGTCCAGGGAAGTACTGCCTTCCCTATAACCTTACCTATATCTGCCGCCAAGCAACAATATCAGCTTTACTGTGTTCCAGTTTTAAAGGGTGCTGGTGAAATTATAGGCACATGAGACTTGTCAACTTAAGTCTGAGGATGACGGACGCAGTGGCAGTGCCCTTCAGATCTTTTCGATTTAAAGCTCTGAGTGGCACTGCAACTGTTATAGACAGGCGTGTAGCTTCATCAAGCGCACGACTTGTTCGTCCCCTCACTTGATATTATAAAAAAACAAAATTGGTTTTTAACGACTATTTATGCCCTTGCACCATCTGTGAGAAATTTACTTCTTCACTCAGATGACTATCGTATTTTTTGTGAAAACTGCTACTCCACTGGTTTGGGGCTGTTATGATACAAAGTCGAACAAACAAAGAAAATTTCTTTGATCCGACTGGAATCGAACCCAATTCCCAATTCCCAACTGAGCTACGGAACGTATAAGCCTCACACAGAATTTCTCTATGTGTTTCTATGTTGATATTTGTTTATTTTTATTCAGATGGCTTTTTATTTTAATAAAAAAAACAAAGCAAATGTAAATGACGTTGTCTTCTTGCACTAAACTTGAGTATATCATAAACCAGTACTTGCAATGCTACAGACACTGTTAATACATTTAGGCATTGGCTAAAATAAATGCGAAACAATAAAACGTAATTGAATTTAGTGTAAGTGGACGTTAGATCCAAAAAAAACATTTTAATTTTTATTAGGCTTACAAAGTTTTTTTAAAGTGGCAGTAAATAAAAACCATATTACATACATATTTACAAACATTGAACAAATGATGAAAGATTCTGATAGATTTATAGCCAAATACCGGAAAAAGCAGAGCATATTTATAGAGTGAATAATACCTCCTTCTGAAACGAATTGTTATGTTGTATTTTATTCTATATTTTTCATTATTCATAATTGACACAGGTTGAATAGGAGTTGTCATGTTGCAAAGTAAGTATAGTTTCCCTGTGTCCAGTCAAGTATTAGGCAAACGAATATATTGAAGGTATATTTGTTATATATTCACACACGTGCATTGCAACAGACTCAGCAGTAGAGTTCCTTGTGAAAGAATTCGTCCAGGGAAGCACTGCCACCTTACCTTATTTTTGCCGCCAAGCAGTAATGTGAGAATTACTGCGTTCCGGTTTTGAAAGGTAAGGGTACTGGTGAAATCACAAGCACATGAAGCTTGTGTTGCTTTAGTCGGTCGGTGTGTTAATTTTAATGAATCATGTTGATTTCTGTGCTTCAGGCTGCCGATCCGAGAATTGTTCTGATTTTTTGCCGTTTACTTTAAATCGTTTCGGGATTAATTAACCACTCTATATGTGTTATTTAAAATATATGTAAACATACTCAAAGTTTAACTTTTGAAATGATATTTTATGCCGTTAAAAAGAAGTTTTTTTTTAAATTCCTATTGGCGAAAGTCTACGTAATCTAGCTTCAGCCTTTTATCTTGTCTAATCTTTCATGATTTTAGATTCTTCTGTTGAAGGTCAATAGCAATATTGGATAAGATAATTCTTTACTGCGTTCCGGTTTTTAGTGGCGCTGGTGAAACTACAGGCACGGATAACTTGTCAAATTTCAGTCTCAGAGTGACGGGTGCAGTCAGTACACATCAGGTCTTTGCGTGTGGGTCGGGCCCGAGCCCGACCTATACCCGCTCTTTAGAGCGACGCCACACGGGCGTTGCGTCCGCGTTGCGACGACGTTGCATTGTACTTCATATAAATTAGAGCCATATGCCACACGCTGCTTTTAGTACGTTGCAAGCAACGCCACGACGCGAAAGCGACGACGAAGCTACAGTGTGGCGTCGCTCTTAGAGCTCCGAGTGGCGCTGCAACTGTTAAGGACAGACGTGTCGCTAATCACATTATAAATAAAATTTGATAATATTACTAAAGAGATATTAAAAGTCTTATTGATTCCAATACCGTCCCTTTCCTGACTAAAATTCGTAAATAACGGAATTATATATCGTTTTTTTAGAATTCGAAAACTGGAAACAAAGAAGCAGCGATAGTAATTAGAATAAAGGAATAAAAAACATCGTGAGAAGTTATGATAAACAATATTTATAATATCGAGTTCTTGAGTGTTACACATAGGAAATGAAACTATTTTTCCGGTTTTAAATCGCGTATATTTGTTTTTTTTTAAATACCAACGTTTCGGGCCCTTTACAGGTCCCATGGTCACGGTTCACTGAGATGGTACAGTCATCAACCAGTTATGTCTAATGTTAATGCAAACCACCCTATTTTTCAGTATAGTTACAAAAGTTATTAACTGAATACCTTATTTTTAATTTTACAAAGAAATATTCCAATTTTCGCTACATTACGTTTTACAAATTTAATCATTTTATTTTAACAATATGAATTTTTATTAAGTTAAATTTATTATTAATTAATAACGGAAATTAGAATAAATTAAACATAAGACCATGGGACCTGTAAAGGGCCCGAAACGTCGGTTTCTTTGAAAAAACAAATGTAACACGATTTAAATCCGGAAAAATAGTTTCATTAAATATTTATAAATTACACGATAATATATAATTATTTTTATTTTTTCCAAATGAATGGCTTGTGTGCTAGTGTCCGTTTTCTAGTATCATAAACAGGATGGAGGGTGTGTTATAGAATATGCAGAAAATTTTGTACGCAAAAAATTAAAAACAAAAGACTAGACTTAGAATCATGTATGCATAATCAAATATAGTGTTAGTACATGAACAATATTTACTGTTTAATGTTTATTATTTATATATATGAATTTAAACAGAATATGGTACATTTTTGGGTGAGAGTATAGGGACAATAGGCATTTATAGGAAGCAGGACGACGGATAGAGGGAGGGATTATAAAACGATTTCTTTCAATGTTTGGAACATCTGTTTCTCTTTAGGTTTTTTATAGTGCAAGTCTTTGAGATGGATTACGTTTGTAAAAGTAGAAAACTGCCATTTAATATTTATAATATAAGTTTACAGCTTTCGTTAGAATAAAGGAATAAAAAACATCGTGAGAAGTTATGATAAATAATATTTATAATATCGAGTTCTTGAGTGTTACACATAGGAAATGAGACTATTTTTCCGGATTATTTATCATAACTTCTCACGATGTTTTTTATTCCTTTATTCTAATTACTATCGCTGCTTCTTTGTTTCCAGTTTTCGAATTCTAAAAAAACGATATATAATTCCGTTATTTACGAGTTTACAGCTTGTGCGAATTTGGGTGACAAAATTTCTTGACTTGTTTAGTTCTATGATATTCGAAGTAAACATTGTAAAATATCTATTTACACATACCCACGATTAGCATCTTTATTTTTTTTTAATAAGTCGATAATGGAGCATGTACCAACGCCTTGAAAAGGCCCAAGTTATACCGTTTAGTGTACAAGTTTGCACTTCATAGCTGTTCGCCATATAAATGTGGAATGGAAACATTTCGTGCGAATTCTTGGAATATTCACAACGTAGGGGTGAAACTAAAGCCTACGTCTAGTCCCCTCATGATGAAAAGAAGAAGGCGGAATTAAACCATGCAATTCCATCGCACACTCATTCTTCTCAGAGGAATCTGTCCCACGAATAAATAGTAGAGTCTAATCAATATCGACGCCGGAAAGCGAACTTGTCGTATCTTGAAAAATAGGACTTTAAACCAGGACCGAAAAACTAGGTTTTTGCGATTGTTACACATAGGAAATGAAACTATTTTTCCGGATTTGAATCGCGTATATTTGTTTTTTCAAACAAACCGACGTTTCGGGCCCTTTACAGGTCCCATGACCGTGCAGTCAACCGTGACCATGGGACCTGTAAAGGGCACGAAATGTCGGTTTGTTCGAAAAAACAAATATACGCGATTTAAATCCGGAAAAATAGTTTCATTTCCTATTTCTCTTTAATTTGAATTAGTAGAAAGTCAATTTTAAAGTATGATTATATACATCATCCCTAAAAATTGACTCTTTACTCTTTACTTTAATTTTTTGTAATAGTTTTTCGGCCCTGGTTTAAAGTCCTATTTTTCGAGATACGACAAGATCGCTTTCGATATGTTGATTTCAAGTTTAATTTAGTTGTAGGTACAAAGAAAAACCCGACAAAAGTCGCACCTGCGATCACGGGATTCCGTCCACATCGCTCTTCCAGCTCAGCTAACCATAACGAAAATGTTAAAAGTGTCTGTTACAGATATTTGCATTGAGTTTTCGGCTTTCGACCGTGAGCGACATCTATGAGAGACTTTGTGAACCTTCTCACTCTGCCGGTAACTTTCCAGTTAATGGGGTCAGAATCGTCGTCGGGTTTATAGAATTTTTCTTCGTGTTCGATCTTTGTATTTAATAATTATGGCAATTAATGGAATTATTGTAAAAAAAAACAATATATTTATTTGAACTTTGAGTTAGGAAACAGACGGTGTATGGTAAGTCCTAATAATCATAGCATTGCATCGAGGGTTCAGTCTAGTTTGCGGCATATCCTTTTACAATAGATAAATTAACACGAAAGTATTTACAATAATATACAAGACTCTAGTTTTGCTGCCTTAGTTGCTGCTCTCTCTCCCTGGCCTTCATCTCCAGCTCTTCCTCCTCCTTAGTGAGTGGCACAGTACTATGGTTATAAAGACCTTGGGCCATCAGCTGCAAGGCCAATGGATTCCGTTGTCCAGAAGCCTTCTTTATCTTGGCGCGTTTGTTTTGGAACCAGATCTTAATCTGGGCTTCTGCCAGCCCCAGTTCTGCGGCCAGCGCTTGCCGGCGCCGCTCTGTCAGGTAACGGTTTTCGGCGAATTCGTGCTGTGGAAAAAGACAAATGTTTTAACTTTTTTAAATATTTTTTTTATTTATAACATACCTCGCTTATAATAAGTAACAAGACATAAAATGATGTCGCATGAACGTATTAGAGACCCCCCATACCAGCGTCTTTCTCTCAGATCGTCGGTCTCAAGATTTTTCTGTACACTACTGCATATCATATTGTCAGTAATAAACACAAAAATGAGGTAAAGAAATTATTCCTCAGTCGCATTCGGCACTTGCATGATTGATTTTATGTGGAAGTGTGATGAAGCTATTCTTTCTGTCATAGACAAACTGTTTGTATTATTTAAATGTACAAAGACCGGCGACATTTAGCGGCATACAAAAAAGAATATAAATAGTAACGTTTATATTGAAATAAATAAGAATTAGACATAAACTAGCAATAAAATTAACATCTTTTAACATCGACTTAATAGGGCATTACTCAACCTTTATTGAAAAAGAAACCAAATATCCGTGCCCACTGGGAGTAGGGTCTTCAATACTTTTCCCGCGATGATACATTATGAGAAGATATCAAATGAAGAAATTTCGAAAAGGGTTAAGGAAGAAAGAAATTGTTTGAATACAATGGAATACAGAATTTGTGAGTCCTCAAGTCGTGGACGCAGCCACGCAACCACACACACACACACACCTATCTAATATCCCAAGTACTTCCTAAAGTCTGGGAACAAGGGACATGAGCACAAGTCACGCCTAGGCACTTATTCTGGTTTGCCATCTAACAAATGGAGTCTTGTGAACAAAATAAAATAGAAGATCAAAGCGAGCAGCTATATGGAGGTCAAGAACTTTGAGGAGTGAAGGAGGTTAGACAAGACAGACAAGAACCTGGCTCTAAAATAAGATGACGATGTTATATTTAATCACATGAGTGCTTTTCTTTATTTTTCAAGGAAAGATAATTTGTAGGACGATAGAGTTATTAATACCTTTAGTCTAGCCAATTGAGGTCCAGAGAAGGCAGTCCTCGGTCGTTTCTCGTCTGTAGGTCCGCTGGTCTCCCCAGGCGGCTTCTTCGGCTTTCTCGTTCGCGGACCTGGGGGAAGTAGGAAGTTTAAGAACTTCAAGGTTGCCAAGAATTTCGCTGACTTGTGACAACACTTTCTGCTTCAAGTTCTTATAAGAATGAATGTTTAGATAAACAAGAATGATGTTACATATTAACTACGGAAAACTGATGTGTTTTAATCATTGACTTACAATTATATGGACGTCGGGTCCGCGCTAAAAAGTGTCCGAACTTATAGGGCGTTAAAATCGTATACAGAGCGTCATTCACGCTTTAGTCTTCGTTTGTTCGACTGACAGCGAAGCAAGCAAAATTAGACAGTACTGCGATGACATTACAATTTAAATTCAACGTTTTAGCTTTTTCATATTCCTTTACATGTCACTACGTTTAAATAGGTTGACTTGGGACATTTTTTTCGTGGTTTTTGTATTAGACCCGTCGTCCATTTATTTGTAAGTCAATGGTTTTAATTCGAATTTTTCTTCGAAAATCGCAAACCAGTCCGTGGTTCTATTCAAGCGCTCTACAAAAACTGCACGCCAGTGCCAGGATAATAAATAATATGTTATGGACTGCCAGTTTTCATAACATTTTAAATAGTCATGTAGTTTTAGTTTCTTGACAGTTCTATCGATAGATCGTGAAAGTAGGTACTGTTGGGTAATTTTCCGTAAAATTTCAAAGAGTGAAAGTTTTAAAAAATAGAATCCGAATTATGTTATTCGTTTAAAAATATCTTTTGAAGTTTTATTTAGCGTGAAATATAAAATAAAATTGTGCAGTTATACGCAAGTTAATTTACGGATTTTGCAAATGGAAGGTTTTTTAATTTCTTTATTTATATACAGATTGACAGTTATTCTTCCACAGACAATATAACTATTGTATTAGATATAGAATAAATAATTTCAAAATCCTAAAAATACTGCAGAATTTGAATTCACAAAATAAATTTAGTAAAACATAGTTAAATTGCACATGTTTAGTTTTTTGTTTTTCGAGTATAAAAACTTTTTGCTTAATTTTGACGTAAAAATCCATAAGGCCATGTAATGAAAAAGCCAATGGGCATAATATAGGGCATTACGGTTGACTTTGCCTGCATGTCATAACACTGTTTACGATCAAGTGTGATGAAAATTAAATTACGGTCAACTGTGACCGTGGAAAGAGCTCGAAATATTGGTTGGTTTGAAAAACGAATATTCACAATTTTAGAACCGGAAAATGTAGTTCAATTGCATAGCAATCGCGAAAACTTAAGAACTCGATATGATAGTATGGCTTCTTCACTGCAACATGGTAATATAAAAATTGAAATAACATGCAAATGTATTATATTATATATATATGTATATGCGCGTCAAAACTTGGCTACTTATGAGCGCCGTACGGGCGGAGGCCGAGCGTTACGAAACGCGGGAACACTAAAATCCATTGCCCACCGTACCGAACTTGCAACTAGAAATCCGCGGGTAATAGGTCCCCGATTCTACGAACATCTACCCACAGACCTGAAAAGTGCTAGAAACGATGAAACGTTTTGTACCCGACTAAAAATCCTTTTATTGGATATTGAATTGTACAGTGTCGATGAGTTTCTTTTGAAACAATTTTAATTTTATTTTATTCGACAAGCAGTAGTTATACTACTTTATTTTATATTCATTATTATTATTATAATTTTATTACTGACGATCATAGTTATCCCTTGACATTGTATTTCCAATTGTAATATTGTGACATTGATAATATGAAATAAACGATTCTATTCTATTCTATTCTATTAAAAAAATATATTCAAAGTACCTCTTGAATACAGGGTTTTCTTGTAAAATTTCGAAGTAAGTTTGTGTTTTTTTTCTACCGTCAAAATTTTCAGAAATCATGTTTTCACGCCCTATACTAACCAGTGTACCTCCTCCTTTATACTATACATTTTTTCCAAAGTTGATTCAACATTTTCACTATTATGCAGAATCAATCAAAGCCATTTGAGGTTGTATTGACTCTTAAATCGCGCCCATGGCATCTTCAAAATGACAACATTTCAGGAGAGGTTTAAAGATTCTACGAACGAAATAATAATAATAATAATAATAACTTTTTATTTCGAGTAACAATAGACTCACTTGTTAGTACATACATGTGAACTTAATCTAAAGTTAGTAAAACTTAAAATTAAAAATTAAAATTGAATTTAAATTAAAATGAAATTAAAATTGAATTTAAATGAAAATTGAAGTTAAATTAAAATTGAAAATAAATTAAAATTGAAATAAAATTAATATTGAAATAAAATTAAAATTAAAATTGAACTTAAATTAAAATCTGATTACATGCTTGGGAGCATGTAACCCGCAGCAATGCCTAATATAGGGGCAGTCATCCCTGTCCCCTATGACACGGAGAGCGGAGTTGGGGCTGGCCCGCACGCGGCGCACCAGAGACGCACACCTCTTGCGCACAGTGGCGTCCATGCCGTCCACGCGCGCGTCGGCGAACATCCCTGATGCGTTTTTGGTGGATAACTTTTTTATGCTTCTATAGGAGAGTTATTATATTACAAAGTTTCAAAAAGACTTCTAAACTTTATTAGCCACGTAATACACCCGTAATATTTAGCGTCCTACTCGAATCCGAGAATATATGAATATCGTTTGTACACCTAGAGATAAAATTATCCTTGTGATATTTCGGACCGTCATACTTCGGAAATTCTGTTGCTAGTTAGTTTTTAGGATTTTTCATGGCATACTTTTCTAGACTTAAAGGAAAAAAAAAACGTAATATGAGGATAGGGCGAAGCAATTTAGTCTCTGTACGCTGCAGTCACGGCGTGTCGTTAATGATCTTGTCACCATATATAAAATAGTTAATGCAAAATGGGCTGGGATTGGAAGTAAACGTCACAGAGAATGTTTCATTCGAGTCTATAATGAAATTAACAAGGACTGGAGTTTAGACATATATTTTCGAAGTTATCGCGCATTTTTAAAATCTTGCAATCGTAAGATAATGCAGTAGTAATTTTGAGATCGTTACTTTCGTTTCGTTAATTTGAATTGATTACTTAAGTTATAATTTATTAATTGTAGTTACCTCCAATTATAATGTATTTGTATTCGTTAAATTAAGTTTTTTTTTAGCTGTGTTCAATAATATGATAAAGCTATGCGTAGCTGTTAGTGGAGTGCAGATTTATATTTCAAATAAAAAAAAAACTTTAATTCCAAATTTAATTTAAAAGTTACAACCATTGACTTACAATTATATGGACGTCGGGTCCGCGGTAAAAAGTGTCCGAACTTATAGGGCGTTAAAAACGTATACAGAGCGTCATTCACGCTTTAGTCTTCGTTTGTTCGACTGACAGCGAAGCAAGCAAAATTAGACAGTACTGCGATGACATTACAATTTAAATTCAACGTTTTAGCCTTTTCATATTCCTTTACATGTCAATACGTTTAAATAGGTTGACTTGGGACATTTTTTTCGTGGTTTTTGCATTACACCCGTCGTCCATTTATTTGTAAGTCAATGGTTACAACGTAAGCAAAGAAATGGTCAATGTGAAAAGTCAATCTAAAATACGCCAGTTTTAGGTCAACATTGATCGAACATTATGTGTTATTCTACCCGACGTTGTGACCGGATAATCATTCCGTTTAGGCCACGCCGGGTTAAAATGCCCGACACTAAAAGAAATCACAAAATAGATCCAAATAATGTAATATCGCAAAAAACTTATACACCAATGAATGTCAATATACGAACATTTTTGGAAATTTTAGCCGGTGAAGAATGTGTTAAGAGAGAGCATACCAAAAAAGTGTTGACGTTGGCTCCGCCCAAATTTGTGAAACAAATATATGCCTGAAGTTCGCGTGACATGCGACAGGAGATGTTGAATTTTGCGCATTAAAAGTACCAAATTCGTTTTAGCGGAATAACCCTAAAACTAAAGGGATTAAAAAAAATCCGTAGTGACAGTTCTCGATCATGCATAAATATAATTAATTATCTAATTTTTGTCCTAATAACCTGTAGCATTTCGAGGATGAATCGAAAAAATGTGAAAATTAGAGGTCATTTCGTGATTTTTATCTATCGAGGAAACTTTATTGTTTTATGTTTCTGATTAATGTCTATGCTTGAATATATCGTGTAGTTACTCATACAATATTTTATTTTTAACTTTAAAGTGGATATACCCCTCTAAAATCAAATCGAAGATTAGGAATTTTTCCTCTGCTCCCTCTTAAAGCATAATATACGAAAGTCAAAAACGTGGCGTAAAAAACTACGTCACGCTAAGAAACACTCCGGTAAGAGCAGGCGCATTAACATTGACTTTAAACGCATTTAACAACGCATCATATTTCATTAGTATAAAGTGCATTTTTGATCAAAACTAATATTCCTCTGATGATAATTGAATGATTTCGTTTTATCGCACCTGGCCTATTGTTCGCGTGACTGTTGCTTATAAACTGCTTCATGATTACGAAATTTTGTAGTTTGACTCTATGGACGATTGATATGATTCCTGTATAACTTTTACTCGAGCAAATTAAAAGAGGCGTGATGCGAATGAGGCTTCACACTTAACATTGTATTTTGATTTGTTCGAGTATTATATATTTGACAGTACAATTACGGTACGATTTAGTTAGAAAACCATTTTTTTTATAACACCCAGGGCGTTAAATGTTAAAGCGCGTAACACACAGAGAGCGTATGCGAGTCGGGCGCGGGTCGGGTCGGGAACACACAGAGCACGAGCGTGTGAATTAAGTGACTGATATAAATAAAATACTTTATTTCTTATGTCAACCTAACTACATGGAATTCAAAATTACAATCAACCTATTCTAACGGTAACTTATCACAAAATCGATTTTTTATTCGGAAATAACGTTTGTTCGAATTTTCACTACACCGAAAACCGAATTATAACGAAACCGTTGTTTTTCAGGATATGTTGGATATTTATCGGAAAGACACAAGTAGGTTCGGTTAGC